TGTGCTTGACACAATAGATGCATGTATGGATTGTGATAAGCCTATGAGCCCCCAATAATTTTTTTTTAAGAATGTAAATAACAAAGCCCTTGTAGGAAACATTTTCAATGAAAGGAACAAAAATCTTTAAAATCTTCCCACCTTTGAATCTGTAGCTCTGCTGCTGGGGACGTTGCATAAGGAAATCACACATATACAAGTTACTACTGGCACTAACTACAGTGCATGCAACCCATGGAGTGTGTACAGCCATTTAAAATACATTGAATATTTTGAAAAGATATTAAAAATGAGATCGGCATGCTTCTGAACAGTATGGACAGCATAATTCCATAAGTGGATATGTATGAAAGTGATTTTTTAAAAATAAACTCACTGTCACTGAGTTGATGCTGCTTCATAGCAACCTTACAGGACAGAATAGAACTGCCCCTGTGGGATTCCGTGACTGAAACTCTTTACTCGGGTAGAAAGCCTCATCTTCCTCCTGAAGAGCAGCTGGTAGTTTCGAACGGCTGACCTTACAGTTAGCAGTTACTCACTACACCACCAGGGGTCCTCTAGAGAGTGATCGGAAGGATAGTATTCATTTATAAACATATGTAAATATCTATTTTACACTTTTATAAATTATGTGAACATCGACAATTATATGACAGAGTTTCGGGTGCTTGGATACATTAGTGAAAATGATAAACAAAGGCCCTCCCTTTAATTAGACTATATTCTACTTAAGGAGAGATAAATGACATGTATGTATATGGACATACATTAAGATAATGAGAAGTACTATGCATCAATAACACAGTCTACAGCAACAGAGCTTTGAAGCTGAAGTTGTGCTGCGATTTAGTAGGAGATCAAGGAAGGCTTTTCTGGAAATGTAACAGTCTTGCTGAAACCTGAACAATGTGAAAGAGCCAGCTCTGAAAGACCATGGAGGAAAACATTCCCGGCGGAGGTGCCCTGGGGAGGGCATGGGGAAGGCTTTCCAGGACAGAAAGGGGGAAGAAAGCAGGCCTGCTGAGCTGAAGCCCAATGACTGCAGCAAGGGAGTGGGATGAGGCCAGTCGGAGAGACAGGCAGGGGCCAGAGAGGTCTCAGGAAGCAGCCAAGAGCTCTTCTGGACATGATTTCAATGAAAGGATCAAAAAAAGTCTTTAAAATGTTCACCATGTTCACCCTGTCTGATTCTAGATCTGACTCTAACAATGTCCTTCCTATACATTACATGCTCATAGTTTCCGAAAAGCCCACCAGACGTCGAGGACCTAACGAAACCTAAATAAATTAACCTCCCGTAAGTAACAGCCCTTCCTAGGTGAGACAGAGGGAGTGGGGGAGAACTGTGTTCAGCCGGGAAAAGCAGATTAATTTACAACACGTGTTTTTATTGCATTCTGTGTGCTGGTGTGACAGATTAGAATACAGATCAGATGAAACTCTGTCCTATCAGTATTGCCTGAGGCTGGAAGAAGGCAAGAAGAAACGCTCCCCGACACTTGTCCTTTCTGATAAGGAAGACCGGGCAGAGACCAGAGACTGGCGAGAAAACCCTGGGCACCGCATGCTGCACACACACACACACACACACACACACACACACACACACACGGCACCTGCTACCCTCTACTCACGGGAAACAGGCCACCGGGGAAAAGAGATCTCCCAAGGCATGGAAAGGGAGACAAGGGAGAAACAGAACTCTCTAAGGACCTAAAAAGCTGGGAGGCAGGGTGCAGCGTGGGGAGGGATCTCTCCGCGTTCAGAGAGCAGGTAGCTTGGTTGTGCTCAGATCGCGAACTCTCACCTGTGATCGGTGGGATTATATTAAACGGTCTAACATGAGCATAACTGGAGTCCCTTAAGAAAATGAAAGGAGAGTACGTGACAACGGATTCATATTTCAGGAAATAATGGTTTGAGAAGCTTCCAAAGCTGATAAAAAGACATCTATCCCTAGAACCAAGGAGCTCAACAAACTCGGAGAGGCATAGCAACGAAACATACAGGAAAGATCCCAAATGCAGAAGGAAGCCACTGGTGGTTTTAATGAAAGACAATGATGTGCTCCAACTTACACTTGAAACAAGTATCTCTGGAGAAAGTATATATGGGGCAAGGAGCTCAGTTCATTGATAGGAATGCTAACAGAGGGGAATCATGGCATTTTTCTTCCCCATCCCTTCAGCCATATCTTTCCTCCCCAGACAGCACTGACACCAGTTTTCCAACACTCAACAGGGGCTACTTTGATCCTATGTCATCCCCTGCGAAATAACATCTTTTCCTACACCAGTAATATTCCTGGGACCTAATTTATCTTGGACTCTCAATACCTAACCCAGTGCCTGCCATATTGTACGTGCTCAACACATAGTTACTGAAGCAAAGTTTAAGACTACAAAGACGCAACCAAAGCTTAAGACTATGAAGGTTCAACCACAGTTAGAATTTGCTGCAAAATACCTTATCTTCTTGGTGATGGGGTTGTATCGTGATAGCATTACTGTACAGGCACCACAGCCTCCTCCTCCACAGCCATCCTTAGTTCCTGTGAACCGGACTGGAAGTCGCACAGTTAAAGATCGTGTGTTTCTAATGATTTGGTTTTCTTCTTGCATAGCTCTGACCTTAAGCAAGAGAACATTCTGAGGCTCAAAACTGCACACCTTGAGTTCAACATGTATTTATCGAATTGTATCTGTATGTCTGTGGCTATTTAGAATCTTGTAAATTCTTGATTTCCATTATATTCTTCCTTTGCAAAAAACAGACTTCAGATTGCCAAGAAATAGTGCCAAACAAAAACGAAATCTATAAGTAAGAGGGTTTAAATGCTGGAAGGTCTGAGTATGTTGTCCACTTGTTTTCAGTTCTCTGGGTGCCTTTGACAATACACAAAGTTAAATGTCATCACTATCAAATGACTATCAAAGGATATCATTTATCTACCTTTCAGTGGTGGCAACAGCTAGTTGTCCTTAGGATCGATTCGCTCATTTTTCCTTAATTTGTAACTCCCAGTTCTTATCCCCACATATGGATAAGAAAGAAGGGATCAGGTATAAGGCATCATCAGAACAAAATATCTTACCATAGTGAATGATGGGGGGAGTGCGGAGTGGGGATCCAAAGCCCATTAGTAGACCACTAGAGATCCCCTTGCAGAGGAGTCTCAGGGAGGAGATGAGCCAGTCAGGGTGCGATGTAACAACGATGAGAAATACAACTTTCCTCTAGTTCCTAAATGTTTCCTCCCAGCTCCCACTACCATGACTCAAATTCGACCTTGCAAGTCTGGCTAGACCAGAGGATGTACACTGGTACAGATAGGAACTGAAAATCCAGGGAATCCAGGGCGGATGAGCGCTACAGGACCAGTGGTGTGAGTGGCGATACTGGGAGGGTAGAGGGAGAGTGGGTAGGGAAGAGGGAACTGATTACAAGGAACTATATGTGACCTCCTCCCTGGGGGACAGACAACCAAAAAGTGGGTGAAGGGAGACGTCGGACAGGGCAAGATATGACAAAATACCAATTTATAAACTATCAAGGGCTCATGAGGGAGGGGGGAGCGGGGAGGGAGGGGAAAAATGAGGACCTAATGTCGGGGGTTTAAGTGGAGAGAAAATGTTTTGAGAATGATGTACAAATGCGCTTTACACAATTGATGTGTATATGGATTGTGATAACAGTTGCATGAGCCCCTAATAAAATGTTTTTAAAAATAAATAAATAAAATAAAATAAAATTTCAAAAAAAAAGAAAGAAAGACATTTTTTCAGACTCCTCTATAGGTAGGGGGGCATCATTAGCCAGGCTGGCCAATGGCATGAGAGTTCCTCATCTGGCTTCCATAAAGGACACATCCTAAGAAAGATGATGTCCCTTTTCCATTCCTTACTTATTTGCTAGAATTCAAATATGATGGTTTCGTTCCATCAGTCACCTCTGACCACCAGAGGCAGCTACATGGTGAGGCAGGTGAAGCAGCAAGACACAAGGAGGTTGGTTCTCTGATAAACTTGGCATTGCCTTACTACCCGGGATCCACCTACCCCTGGCTTCCTTTACGTGCGAGTGGCAGCTTGAGAATGTGTTTGACACACCTCTTAGCACACGGAGGGAAAAAGCCCAAGGGACTCAGTTGTGACACTTTGAAAACCGCCATCTGGGTTTGCATTAAAGACCCATCTCCCCTAGGCTCTGCCCATCAACAACTCCAGGCTGTGAAGAGGATTGTCCCTACAGTCCCTAACGGCTTTGGGTGGCAGCCTTGGATGCTTCACCTACAAGGGAACCAAATCTTGAATATCACACATGGATAACCAGGAAGTCAGTCTTCATTGTTTTTAAATCCAAAGATATTAAATGACTTTCTATAACACACGCATGTGCCAGAGAAGTAGCTATTCATGATTTCAGACTTGTGTACTCTTTGGGGAATTACACTCTTTTCAGAAAAATAATGCACATGCTTCCGTTGTTAAATGTGTTTATATGTGACTTCATAGGATGAACAAGTCTCTGAAAGCCCACTGAGTTCATGCAGAACAGGTTAGGAATCCGTTTCTGAGATAACATTTATTTTGAATGTTTTTCTAAGAAAAGCATTTTGGAGCTAATTTCTCCATTTTTCTTTTTCTTTCATTCCAGGAGATTTCTCCACTCTCTTTTTGTAATGGACACAATGATGATTCTTTGAAGGTAGAATGTCATATTGTGACTCTTTATTCCAAAAGAGGCGTAATTAAGCTCCTTTAGAAGCAATTGCTTTCATTCCTATTGATTATTATAATCTATTTAGTGCCAAGCCAGAGATTAGAAACATGCTGCCTCTGACAGCCACAATGGTGCCCTGCCTGCACACCTAAGCTGTAGGACACCCTCCAAACTCTCGAATAGTGGGAGCCGTGCTTCATGCGGCTCTACGAAGCTCTGTGAAGTACCAGCTGTAAAGAACTGCACATTATCGCTACACACGCACCACTTACACACTCTGAGCACAGCGAAGGATACGGTTCTTCCTCAGATAAGGTAACAGCATGGTTTCGGGGTCCACATTCTTTTCTACCACCTTTTCAGGAAGGAAAAATAAAAGACCAAGTTGAGAGAAAATGTGACATCCACGTTGATAGGCTTGTGCTAACATGAGACCAGGGCACGCGAACTGATTCCTCTACTCATGTTTGCAATTTGACGTAGCATTTACATAAGACTTACAATTCTAAAAAATCTCCTATTTTTTAGAAACCATTTTACTGGGGGCTCTGACAGTTCTTATAACAATCCATACATCAATTACATCAAGTATATTAGTACATGCGTTGCCATTATCATTTTCTAAACATTTACTTTCTATTTAAGCCCTTGGTATTAGCTCCTCTTTTTTCCCCTCCCTCTCACCCTCACTCTTGTGACCCCTTGATAAATGATAAATTCTTATTTTCATATCTTGTACTGCTGTGTCTCCTTTCACCCACATTTTCTGTTGTTCATCCCCCCTGGGGTGGGGTGGGGTGGGAGGTTATGTGTCAATCATTGAGATTGGTTCCTCCATCCTCCACCCCGTTCCCCCTCACCTCCTGGTATTACTACTCCTATTTCGATTCCTGAGGGGTTTATCTGACCTGGCTTCCATGTGTTGTGAGCTTGTATCTGTACCAGTGTACATGCTCCAGTCTCAGCCAGAATTGAAAGGCAGGACTGGGGTCATGATAGTGTGGAGTGAGGAAGCCTCAAGGAACCAGCTGGATATTGTGTGTTTCATTGTTGCTATACTGTGCCCTGATTGACTTATCCCTTCCTTGTGACCCTTCTGTGAGAGGATGCCCTATTGTCTACGAGGGTTTGGGGTCTCTGCTCTGGCTCTCTTCATTCTCAACAATATGTTTTTTCCTGTTTTGGGTCCTCTGATGCCTGTTACTTGATCCCATCCATGGACACCGCATGATCGCACAGGCTGGTGTGCTTATTCCATGTGGGCTTGTTGCTTTTTCTGCTAGATGGCCGCTTGTTTACCTTCAAGCCTTTAAGACCTCAGATGCTATATCTTTTGATAGCCGGGCACTATCAGCTTTCTTCACCACGTTTGCCTATGCACCCACTTTGTCTTCAGATATTGTTTCGGTAGGGTGAGATCACAGAATTCGAAGTTGTTAGAACAAAGTATTCTTGGTTCAGGGAGGGCTTGAACAGAGGCCCAAAGTCCACCTACTTCCTCAATGTAGTGCCAAGGAGAGTGACAAAGCGGTAGTAAAGCTCAGGATCTTGACTCACATGGAATCCAGGAACAGGAATGGGAGTAGTGATACCAGAAGGGCAGGGGGAAGGTGGGGAGAGGAGATTGCAAGGATCGACACATAACCACACACACGCCCCTCCAGGGAGACGAACAATAGCAACTGTCAGGGAAGGGAGACAGTGCTCACTGTAAGATATGAAAATAATAATAATTTATAATTTATCAAGGGGTCACAAGTGAGGGGGAAAAAGAGGAGCTGATACCAAGGGCTTAGTAGAAAGCAAATGTCTAGAAAATCATGATGGCAACATATATACAAATATGCTTGGTTCAATTGAAGTATGGATTGTTGTAAGAGCCCCCAATAAAATGATCTTTTAATTAGAAATAAATAAATAAATAAAATATGCAGCAACAACAACAACAAAACCAAAAAAGCAAAGGTCAGTGGACAGACCTGGAATTTTTAATGTATTTTGTCTTTTACTAGTTTTTTCCCCTTTTTATCCAATCTTTGTTTTGTTTTTGTTTTGTCTCCATTATTGTCATTTTGTCTACCTGTGTGAGACAGGCATGGGAAGCAAGCCCGAAGAGAAAGCAACAGGTCCAATGGTTCCAGGGGGACTTGGGGAGAGGAGGAGGCAGAGGGAGGGAGCAGGGAGCATCGAATTATCTGTGATTTTTTCTTTTATTTTTGCTAGGTTTCTTACCTTTTTTAATTCAATCTCTTGTTTTCTTTTTGGTTTGTCTCCGTTGTCGTTTTGCCTACCTGTATACGATAGGGAGGGGTCCTAACCAACCATGGCCCTCAAATCAACCAAAGTGTGTCTTGTGTGGCTGGCTTTACAAAGACATTGGAAGTGCCATCCATAAACTGCGTGTTCCCCATGCACGCCAGGACACACTCGTGCCAGGTTGCATGTGCAGCACAGCACAGCGGTGTCGCAGCAGCACTGAGGGCGGCGGGACAGAACTGTTCCCAGGGATCGTGCTTCTTGGTTTGGGTTACAAGTGGGGGTTTTGTTTAGTCAGAACAAATAGACGCATGGTTTGCTTCACAATTTCAAAAACTGAATCCATATTTCAGGGTGTTATTATCATTTCCCATCCCTTTGCTCAATTCTAAGTGGGCACCTGCCAGGAAAAGGAGGGCATATGCTAATTATCAAGGTTTACCTTGTGCCCTAGGGCAGACTGGATCTTGGCGAGAGTTGTGATTGTGTGTGTGGTGTGTGTACACTTATGCACTAAAAAACAAGGAAAAATCTGGAGTGACCTCCAGTTGTCCCCCAACTCAACTAGCTCTCACAAGTAATCCTTTATTTTATCCCCCAAACATATGCCTTCCCTTCTCCCTAAGCTGTAGACTAGCCTCCCCATATACGAGGCCATCCAAACATACACACCTGACTTACTTTCCTTTCAACCCACCAGGGTGTCACCATGTCCTGCCACTTACACTTGCAAAATGCTTCTGTAAATGCCCTTTGTTCCTACTGCCACTACCTGGAATGACACCTTATCACCTCACGTTTGAACTATTGTCAGAACACCCTCCCTCCACTCTGGGGAACCTCTGTCATGCCCTCCCCACCACTGCCGAGTGACCTCTAAAATCCAAGTCTGATCAACATCGACTCTTGGATCCCAATGACCATCCTGGGAATCCCTGAGTCACCTGGAGAGCACATTAAAATGAAGCCCCGGTGGGCTTAGGATATGGAGGAGAAGGGACCAGAAAATGTGAGTCATGAATGAGTGAGCCTTCTGCAAATTCATGTTCAAGGTTGCCTGGAGTCCAAGAAGCAGAGCCAACCTGTGGCAGAGCCTCTATGACAAACTGCCCGGCCACATCTTGGCACCTCACCCAAGAGCCACATGGGAACTCTGGTGGGTGCCAGCAACGCTCGAACCTTCACTTCTCACACGCTCAGGGTGCAACTGACAAGTTGGTGGTTTGGCTCTACTCAGCGGCCGGCCAGGCAGGCAGCGGGGTTGGGGGCAGGGGTGGAGATCTCGCTGAAAGATCATGGCCTAGGACACCCTACGGGGCATTCTAGTGTGTTGTCTGGGGTTGCTATGTGTGGACTTGACAACTAACAGGAAGAATCCCATGTCCTTCGAGGGCTCTAGGTGCCCCTGAAGTCTCCCCTCTGCTCAGTGAGGCAGAATGTTGTCTGTCCTTCAAAGCTCATCTCTAAGGTTCGCTCCTCTGGGGAAAGTGCCTTCTAATCTGCCCTGCCAGCTCCCTGCCTAGGTCCCTGAGCCAAGTAACCATGCCCCCCCACCCCCCAATATGGTAACTCATGATGTCACTCACACTGTCCACCCCCACCCCAGGAGCAGGCTGGCTGGTGAATTCCCACTCCCC